GCACCCTGCCCCACCGCCCATGCTTGTCATGTGGCTCCTGGCCCCATGGCTCCCCTACGCTTGCCCTGCCCTTACCACCCACGCACCCCGCCCCCCGCTCCTTCCCTTGCCCAAGCCCCCCACGCACCCCGCCATGGCTCCTCCCAGTGCATGCCCGCCCTACCCCCACCACCCACGCACCCCGCGCCCCGCCCATCCGCCCTTCCCGCTCCGCATACTCCTTCCCTTGCCCAAGCCCCCCACACACCCCGTGCCTCGCTGCCCTTGCTGTCTGCTTCGTTGTGCAGTGCCTCGCTGCCCTTGCTGTCTGCTTCGTTGTGCAGTGCCTTGCTGCCCTACCCTTACCACCCACGCACCCCGCCCCCCGCTCCTTCCCTTGCCCAAGCCCCCCACGCACCCCGCCATGCTTCTCATGGACCCATGGCTCCTCCCAGTGCATGCCCGCCCGCTTGCCCTACCCCCACCACCCGCATACTCCTTCCCTTGCCCAAGCCCCCCACGCACCCCGCCATGCTTCTCATGGACCCATGGCTCCTGGTCCCATTCTTCATCCCAAGCTCGGCGTCAGTGAAGACCCATTGCCCCTACCACCTACACTCCACCCCATCCAAAGCTCGACCAGCCCATGCTTTTCATGGACCCATGGCTCCTGGTCCCATTCTTCATCCCTTGAGCTGCTCCACCCCCACCCGCAACCCCCACCCCCACCCCGCACGCACTGCCCCGCCGCCCGTGCTTGTCATGGGCCCCTTGCTCCTGGCGTCATGGCTCCACCCCCACCCCCAACCCCCACCCCCACACACCCCACCCTTCCACACTTCACCCCCACCCCGCACCCCGCCCCCCCACTGGACCCATTCTTCATCCCAATGCTGGTCCTATATATGGCCCCTGCTCCACCCCAACCCCCAACCCCCACCCCCATACCGGACGCCGTACGCACCCCCCCACCCACCCACACTTCCAACCCCCACCCCCACCCCACGCACCCCGCCCCCCACTGAACCCATGGCTCCTGGCCCCATTGGCTCATGGTCCACGGCCCATGGATGTCGCTTCTCAGCTGACTTTGGGCCCCAGTGCATGCCCGGGCCCTCCGCCCGCTCCGCCCGCTCCGCCCTCCGCCCTTCCAGCTCCTATATATGGCCCCTGCTCCACCCCAACCCCCAACCCCCACCCCCATACCGTACGCACCCTTCCCGCCCTTCCCGCCCTTCCCGCCCTTCCCCCCTTTTCGCCCGCTCCGCCCGCCATGCTTCCCCTGCCTCTCCCACTACCCTTCCCCTTCCCAACCATTCCACTGTTTCAGGGCCAATCCACGCCCGGCCTTCCCACCCGGCCCCCCCTCTCACCGTACCCCCAATCCACCCCGCCCCTAACCCTCCCACCACCAACCCCACCCTTCCCCTTCCCAACCATTCCACTCCATCCTCCTCCCCTACCCCTTCCCCACTCGATCAGATGACTGAGACTTTAAAGACTTTAAAGGGCTCCAGTGCATGCCCGCCCCCTCCGCCCCCCCACCCCCCTTCCCTCCCACCCCCCCCCACCCCCCCCCCGCCCCCCCCCCCCCCACTCCCTACCCCCCCCCCCCCCCACCCCCCACCCCACCCCCTGCCATCCTTGTTCTTGTCCGGTTTGCGCGGAGCATCAGGTTGAGGGGTCGGCGGCACTGGCGGTAGCCATTAAATCCGGCCCCCGCGCCGCCCGTGGTCCAGGGCGGAGCCCGCGTCGCACTAAAGCGCTAGCTTTAAGGGGCGAGCGCCCGAGCCGCCGACCCCGCCCAAAATTGCTTCAAATTCGCGCGGGGCCCTTCGGGAGGCCTCCAAAACGGCATCCAAGGGGACGCAACACGCGGTGGTGCGAAAAGCACGAAAACCTCGTAAAAACCATGGGTTTTTACGAAAAACCGAGGCCACAAAACACCCGCAGCACCCCATTAAACCCTCACGGGCGCGCATCATCGGCCCTAGCTTTTCACATGGGGCGCGCGCCAGGCCGAAACCACGTTTTTCAAGGTTTGGGGGGGGTACCGGAAGCCCAAAACCAGGCGAGCATCATGAGCATCAGCAGCCCTGGCCCGCGGGCCCAAGGCAATAAAAAACGCTGAAAAACGCTGAAATCACCGTAAATACCGTGTTTTTATGAGGTTTTTCACGCGTGCCTCCGACCCCCACCCCTGTTGCCCTTGACCCGCCCCCAAAGTGCGCATCATCGAAACCCACGTCCGGGGGGGGGTCTGCTGATGCTGCTGATGCGCGGGGTCCGGGCGCATCATCGAGCCATCGCTTCTCTTGGGCTTCGTGGGGGGGTCCGGGCCCACGGCCCAGAGACCCAGCTGATGCTCATGATGCTCGGTTTGGGGGGGTGTTCCAACAGCAGAAAACCTCGTAAATACCGAGTGTTTTGTGGGTCCACGTAAAAACGCCCCTAAAATCGCTCATTTTACGCGCTCGAACGGCTTCGTGCCTACAAAACACCCGAACAGCAGGACCCCGAATGCCCTTAAGGGCATTCGGGGTCTTGCTTTTGGGGGTTTCGTGGGCACGCAAGCGTTCAAGCACATACAATCGGCGTGTTTAAGGGGGTTTTGGATGGCCTGGGGGAGGCCGCTGATGCTCATGATGCTCCCTTTCCTGGGTCCCAAAAGGCTTCCCAAGCCCAAAAACACGTGTTTACAGCGTTTTCTGAAGATTTTTCGAAGGCAAAACGCATGCATAGAATGCTTTTAAGGCCCCCAAACCAACCCCACTGATGCTCCTGATGCGGGCGCCGCGCGCGTGCGCGCGCGCGCGCGCGCGGGGGGGGGGAGGGAGGGGGGGCGAAGGCAGGAGAAAGAGAGACAGAGAGAAGGAGAGGACAAAGACACGGGAAAGAGAAGACAGTGCCAAGGTTCAAGGTTTCGTGCTTTGGGGGGCGGGGGCCGGCCCGTGCCGCTAGGCCTGAAATATGTTTGGGTCCGATATAACCAAAAAGGTGAAAGGTTACCTACCCAGTGTACCTAAAAACAGGGGGATGCTCTTTGTCTGCTGCACTGCGCGTCTAGGGTTTAGGGTTGAGGGTTGAGGGTTGAGGGTTGAGGGTTTAGGGTTTAGGGTTTAGGGGTTCGAGCCAGCTTTGCATCCTCAAAGCCACCCGGAGCGGCCGTAAACCCCTAAACCCTACCCTAAACCCTACCCTAAACCCTAAACCCCAAACCCCAAACCCCAAACCCCAAACCCCAAACCCCAAACCCTAAACCCTAAACCCTAACCATAGTCCATGTAGGCCATGTGGCGGAGTCAGGGTCCAAACGTCGGCTTTGGCGCTGGGCGCGTAGTAGGAGCCCGTTTTAGGCACCTGGTCCAGGAGTGCTTGCGGTTTAGGGTTTAGGGTTTAGGGTTTAGGGTTTAGGGTTTAGGGTTTAGGGTCAAGAGTTACGGTCTTAAGATTTCAGGTTCTAAAAGTTTGGGCTCAGGCCCCTAAGCCCAAAACCCTAATTTGCTAAACCCCAAGCCGTAAACCCTCGACCCTAACTCTCAACAGAGAACCCGAAGCCCCAAACCCAGAACCCTGAGCCTCTATAACCCTAAACCCTAAACCCTAAACCCTAAACCCTAAACACTAAACCCTAAACCCTAAACCCTAAACCCTGAACCCACACCCCCCTTTTGCCTGTGTCGGCCAAGGTGGGTTCCTTGGCTTGCCATTGAGGGTTTAGGGTTTACGGCTTAGGGTGTAGGGCTTGGGGTCTTCCTAGGGCCGTAAGGATAAGGGGTTCCTTTGTAGCTTGCTGTGAAGGGCTTAGGGCTTGCGGGCTTCAGGTGTGAAGCCTTTGGGGGCTTTTCGGGCTAGGGTTTAGGTTTAGGGTTTCAGGGCGTTTGTTTTTTTTTGTTTTTTAAAGGGTGTCTTTAAGGGTTTAAGGATGTCCGGTTGTCAAGGGGTTTAAAGTAGCTTTGAGGGGAGCTGGAAGCCCTAAAGCCCCGAAGCCAAACCCAGAACTTCTAAGGTTGAGGGTCGAGGGTCGAGGGCCCAGTTTCCGTTGGCTTTGGGCTGTCCCTGGTGTGCGTTCGAGCCTACCCCTAAACCCTGAACCTCAATTCGCCTAAACCCTAAACCCTAAACCCTAAGCCCTAAGCCCTAAGCCCTAAGCCCTAAACCCTAAACCCTAAACCCTAAGCCCTAAGCCCTAAGCCCTAAGCCCTAAGCCCTAAGCCCTAAGCCCTAAGCCCGAAGCGCTAAGCGCTAAGCCCTAAACTGAACCGCAAACCTCAGCTCTAGCCAGAGCACACTACCGACGCTGGGCTTCGTGTTTGGGGTCTAGGCTGACAGGTTTGGGTTTAGGGTTTAGGGTTTAGGGTTTAGGGTTTAGGGTTTAGGGTTTAGGGTTTAGGGTTTAGGGTTTAGGGTTTAGGGTTTAGGGTTTAGGGTTCAGGGTTTAGGGTTCTAGGTGCTAGGTTTCATGTTTCAGGGGTTGGGGGCTTCGGACTGAAGTCTTAGACCTTGCAAGGTCCAGGGTCTCAGCACTTCAGGGCTGTCACCATCACTTGGGCCGACCAAGTCCCCTCATAAAAAGCACAATCCCGCACCCTAAACCCTAAACCCTAAACCCTAAACCCTAAACCCTAAACCCTAAACCCTAACCCTAAACCCTAAACCCTAAACCCTAAACCCTAAACCCTAAACCCTAAACCCTAAACCCTTCAAGTGCTTTTCTTTACCTCATGGGGTTATAGAAGGGCAAGGGGGCCTGAGAACCCAGCCTTAGGTGGGGCAGCGGGGGGTGAGGGGGGGGGGGGAGGGGGTTGGTTTCGAGTTTGGTGATTGGGGCTTCTTGTGTGAGGTGTTCGAGGATCGGAACTCGGGCAGCTCAGTCTCCGGCAGTTTAGGGTTTAGGGTTTAAGGTTTAGGGTTTAGGGTTTAGGGGCCTTTTTCAAGCTTCAGCAATCGAGGACTGGCACTTTGAGTTTATGGGTTGCGCGCTGCGTGGGATTTCTGCAGGAAAGTGCTACCTCCCGGGCTCACTTCAACACGGATTCGTCCATGATGTTGTAGCCTCGGATGTCTATCGTTGCAGACCACAGAGACTCATGCTTGTCGGGTACATAGCGTTGCCCTCTCAGAGGCAGCAGCATCAGCAGCCACGTCATGGTATGCCCGTGCGGTATGCCGTGGCCATGATGGCGACATGATATTGCATGATGCGCTTGACTGGCCGAGGAGCTGGGAGGCAGAGAGTTTGTGGAGACCTGGCCCAGGGCTATGCGGCATTCAAGGAGAAACCAGGAGAAGATGAGGACGGGCCATGAATTTACTTAAGAACCACCAAAAAACAAAAGACAATCACCCCTAAAATGCCCTTGAGGATCCTATTTTAAGCGTCTTTATTCTTTTCTAAGTTTTTGGGGAATTCTTAAGAAATTCGTAGATGAGCAGGAAGGCTTCTGGAGACTTGGTGGAGCATAGGGCGTTCGCGGTAGGACCCTAAACCCTAAACCCCTACCCTAAACCCTAAACCCTAAACCCTAAACCCTAAACCCTAAACCCTAAACCCTAAACCCTAAACTCTACACTCTCAACCCTCTGCATCGCCTGCACAGCCCTGCTGCCGGCAGCCTTCAACGTATACCACTCCTGCAGGGTCATGAAGGCACAGATGGGGGTTTCCGAAATTAGGGGTTAGGGTTTAGGGTTTAGGGGTTAGGGTTTAGGGTTTAGGGTGTAGGGTTTCGGGTTTAGGGGTACCTTGTTGGGGTCCTTATTGTAAGGATTCCTATTTGGGGGTCTATTTTAGAGGTCCCCCTATTTTCGTAAACCGCCAGATGTTCCTTCGGCCGGCTGAGAAACACCCGGACCGAACGCAAGATGTGGTGACCTAGTGCCGAGTCTGCAGCTTCTTCGAAACAACCCTAAACCCTAAACCCTAAACCCTAAACCCTAAACCCTAAACCCTAAACCCTAAACCCTAAACCCTAAACCCTAAACCCAAGTATCCGGTTGTCGGTTTTTAGGGTTCCCGAGTTGCACCTCAAGTGGCGCCCAGCCGGCATGAAACTCGGTTTCCATCGTCTCCTCCCACTCCTGGGTTTCCATGGAGTGGATATGGAAAACAAGGGGGTTTAGGGTTTAGGGTTTAGGGTTTAGGGTTTGGGGTGTAAATTTAGGGCTTTATCAAGGGTGCCCTAAACCTCTTGCGGCTGAGTCGCCCGCACCGTGCTGTTTGCGCGATAGTTGGATCCTGGTCCAAGGTCCTCGCATCTGCTGGGTCTCAATCAGATTTGTGGGGGGGGGATCCGGTTAAAGGCCGGGATCTTTCAAGGTGTAGGACATACTTCGTGGCTGATTGACAGACGGTAAGGATGATTTCGGATGGCAGAAGGTCAGAATGTTCAGGTTCCTTGTGGACATTTATGGCTTTTGGGTGCTCACGATGCTCTGAATTTCTGCAGAGGAGACGTGCCAGATTCTGCAAGAGGGTATCAGGTATCAGGCATCTTTGGCAGTCCTGGGTTTCCTTACCCTAAACACTAAATCCTTATAACTTGTCGAAGGCGAAGTTTGAGGCACCTCCGAGCGTCCTCTGCCCAGTTCCCTACATCCCTAACCCCTGAGCATGCAACCTACATATCTCAAAGGTTTAGGGTAGGGTTTAGGGTTTAGGGTTTAGGGTTGGCCCTCTTCGACAGAAGCCTTGCAGCTACCGGCAAGCTGTGTCCTCCGCATCATCAGCCAGCTCCAAATACCTCCATGATATCTCATGACTCTCTGAGTTCATGGGACTTGGGGGCTTAGAGCCAGCACTGGAATTTCTAGCTTTCAACTTCTAGGAATCCTCCTCCTTTCTGCCCCCCCGAAGCTTTACAGCTCAGGGGCATGAACAGTGAGCACTCGTCCTTTGGGTCGGACCAGATGGAGATCCTGAGAAGGCGTGTTTAAGGCTCTAGACTTACGAGGCGAGATCTGTGCGGGACATTTGGCCATGAGGCTGTCGGAGAGCTCTTAGAGAGGTGTCGGGCTGCGCAGGGCTGTCCCTACGCAGGATTAAGCTTGACAAGGCCTTCAAAGCGTCTGTGGCTTAAGGAACCCCATATGGCCAAGCATGACAACCTTGGGTCCAACCCAAAGTCCCCCCAAAACCCCCTGAGCCCTGGAAGCTCCTCAAACCCTAAACCCGAAACCCAAAACCCCAAACCCCAAACCCTAAACCCAAACCCTGAGCCCTGGAAGCTCCTCAAGCCTTGAAAGGCACAAAGCTCCGTAGTTCTGGCAGCCAGGCAGCGTCTCCACCCCTGAGCCTGCTAGCCCTTGCTCCACTTCCGGCCAAACGCCCTGGCACAGATGGGGTTTCCGAAATGAGGGGTACCTATTGGGGTCCTTCTTGGGGTTCTATTTTCGGGGTCCCTATATAAACCCTAAACTGCCTAAACTCCTGGAATTTCCGGTTCCGATCCTGGCAGTCTGCCCTAGGGCCCTAGGGTTGAGGGGTCTTGGGGCTTGGGGTTTCGCTTAGACTTTAAACTGTGTCAACCCTAGACCCTAAACCCGCCGCGGCAAAAAAACACCCACAACAAATATCACAAAAAACACGGTTTCCCCCTAAACCCTAAACCAAAAACCCTAAACCCTAAACCCTAGACCCTAAACCCTAAACCCTAAACGCTAAACCCGAAACCCTAAACCCAAAACCCTGAACCCTAAACCCTAAATCCTGCATCCCATGCTGTGCGGCCTGGTGGTGACGACGGTAGAGCTTGACGCGGTCTGGGCGCACCTGGCGAATCCCTGAAGCCGGTTCAAGGCATCTTGCCCTAAACCCTAAACTAAACCCTAAACCCCAAACCCTAAAACCCAAAACCCTAAACCCTAAACCCCATTCAGGCTTCAAGGCCTCCAACCCCAAGCCCTGAACCCCTCCCAAAAAATAGGCCTTGGCCATTTGCATGACCCTCTTTCGTCGCGTCTCCTTGGCTGAGCTGCGGCGGGAGGCCCACAGCCTGGTGCTGACTCTTCTTTGGGGTTTAGTGTTTCGGTTTGGCTTACTTCCCCAACAGCTCACATACTTCCTGAACAGCCAAGGTATTAAGATGTTAAACCTTTACCTTTGTCTTTTTGAATATCTACAAGTGGTATTCTTACTCTCTGACTAGTCTCAAACAAAGAAAGGTCCCAGGCAGCAACAAGTTCAAGTCACTCGGGTTTATAACTGGGTTTCGGGTTTCATGGGGTCACGGATCTCAACGGCCAAATCGTCAAGCCTAAGCCCCAAAATCTTCGATCCCCAAACCCTTAGCCCCAAACACTCAACCCTGCAATCCTAAATCCCCAAGTCCAATACCTAAATCCTAAGCCACAAGCTCTCTCTTCGAAAAAACCAAAAGCCCTGAAACCCTAAGCCCCCAACTTGGACCCCTAAACCCTAGACCCTAAACCCTAAACCGTGAACCCCCAAAAGTGCCTTCACTGTGTACAAACCTGTTGGGGAATCAACTTCGAGCCCTAAAGCAAACCCAACATCCCAAGCACCCTTCGACTTTGCCGGCAAGCTTTGAGGCTTCTCAGAGCAACCCCAAACCCTACACCCTGCCGCTTAGGCTTGGGATTCTGGTGCTTTGCTTATGGTCCGGGCTGTGAACAAACAGCCTCAAGACACCCACCGAAACCCCGAAGCTTGCTAGCCCTAAAGCCCAATGGCCCAGGCATAAACCCTGATAGCCACAAGTCCTACTAGCCCTAAACAGCCAAAACCCAGCAGCTACTCCCCAATAGTCCTAAACCCTAAGCCCTAAGCCCTAAGCCCTAAACCCTAAACCCTAGCAAACCCTACACCCTAAGCCATGGTCACTCAAGAGGCGCACCCAAGACCGCCCCAGCTGCCACGCCCAGTGCAAAGGAGGCCATGGCGGGTTTCGACATGGTGGGTTTCGGGTCTAGGGTTGTTCCCAGCCAAAAAGTAGATCCCCTTAAGGGTTCCTGAAGAAGGACGCAATAGTAGTAGAGGGTACTATTTAGGGGGTTCTACTTTTGGGATCCTCCCAGACATCTGGGGATTTTTGGCGCTCTCAACTTAAGGGGCTTAGGCTTGTAGACTCCGGATCGATCTCCCCCCCGAGTGGGTCTTAGAGGGTAGGGTTTGGGCTGTAGGGTGTCTTGCTGCTTCTGCGAGCTCTAAGAATGACGACAATCGGTAAGACCTCTCTATATTCTCAACATGTATTTTAAATTGTCGGCCTTGACAGCACGCAGATTTACGTTTCCAACTGGCTCATAAGCAGGATGCGTACTTAAAATGGGATCTCAAATCTCGAAAGGGGTGTAATCTAGAACAAACTCATACGTCCAGCAAGCGTACAAGAAGACAGTGAACAGGAGCTCTTCACGACGGATACGAGCTCAATGATGTATCCCTTGATCTTGCAGGGACGCACAGCCTGCGCGCAAAACTTCATAGTTGAGCTGCAATCCCCAGCGAAAGAAGCTCAAATCCAAGCAAACTCGCGTGACTCCTCTTAAACCCAAGAAGGGGTAGATATAAGTTACCCCATAAAATCCTTGAACCCTAAACCCGAAACCCTATAACCCACAGCCCTAAACCCTATAGTGCAGCTGGGATTCAGCCCACGGCACTGTGAATTCGCCTTGTTCCGATCACGGAACGCGCTGGAGTCCTGGGCCCAGTCTTTCTGGATTCGGCTGATAATCACATGTTGAGTACGGCCATATGTTCATAATATGATAGTATACATGGTATTCTATCAATATGAGATTATCTAGTGCTATCATACTAAAAATAATCATAATAATGATAACAACAAAAATAATGATAACAAAAAAATAAAAATAATAAGGGTATAATCGCACAATCATCAGATTCGCTGCAAGCGGCTGGGCTTCAACTGCAGCCGCCCCCGACGCACCGAAGTCAGAGAATCCCCCAAGGTCAGAGACATGACATGCTGGGACAAGCTGCACAGCCTCTGCATACCCCAAGGGCTGCTCGATGCGCTCTCCAGGTTGCAACGAGGAAGGTCGGATTAAGGGTCTAGGACCCCAAATGCATAGCCCGTACCCAAGGTCTCGGTATCCAAAACCCTAAATGTCTCGGCATCCTAAACCCTAAGCCCTAAGCCCTAAGCCCTAAACCCTAAACCCTAAATCCTGCAGCCTCCCCACAGCTTCTGAGCTCGGGACCACAGCGGTGTTGCGCCACTCCCCTGGGTGGTTGGCTTTAAGGTGCCGCACAAATCCCAAAGCCACAGATCATCTTGGTAGCCCAGTAGTTTAGGGTTTAATTAGGGAGTTAGGGTTTAGGGTTTAGGGTTTAATTAGGGAGTTAGGGTTTAGGGAGCTTAGGGTTTAGGGTCTTGATAGCCCAATAGCCATATTTTTTGTTTGGGTTGGTTACTTTAAAGGGAACCTTGAAGCAAAAAAGGGAAAAGGGTACCACTGGGCTGCCAAGTCATACTCTCAAGCCCCAAACCACTTAAGGTTTTAATGTTTGGCGGAAGCTTTAGCCGGGTTGAAGATTGAAACAGCCCTGCATTCCACTGCGGTCCGGGTGAGTCTCGGGATTTAGAATGGCAGACGGTTGGGATTCAGGGTTTAGGATTTGGGTTTCGGATTTAGGGCTTCGGCATTCAAGATTTAAAATGTTGGGCTGCGGTTGAGGATTATTTAGCGCTTGGGGTTCAGGTGGTTCGGTAGATGAGGTGTATGTATGTATGCGACACGTGGTCCGCCAATCTGGGTCGCATCTTCATTGTCAAGCGAAAAGAAGGCATCGGTGCAAGTACTTCAGCCTGTTCTTCACTCAGGCGGTTTATTCGATCTTCGGAAGCCCACAGATGTAGATGAACTATACGGAAACAAAGAGAGAAAGAGAGAGAGACAGAGAGAGAGAGAGAGAGAGAAGGCCAGCGTTCAGAAAACACAGCATAATAGTGAGAAGCAGTGCTGCTTAAGACCTAAAGAGTCGCTGCATTTCTTGGTCCTTTTGAGGGGAGCTCAGACCTCGAAGGAGATAGGAAGTCCAGAGTGAACATGCCTAAGCTTCCCGGCAGCCTAGGATCCAATGGGAACCCTGTTTCTTCGTTTTCCTGGGATCTTTAAGCCTCCAGCCTGAAACCCGAAAAACGAAACCCTAAACCCTGACAAAAGAGGAGCAAGTCGACCGTAGGGGTGCTTTGGACAACTCGGTTCTTCTTCTTGTTTAGGGTTTAGGGTTTCGGGTTTAGGGTGTTCATGAGTATCATCGTCATCATCTTCTTCTTACTGTAGGGGTGAAGGGTTTAGGGTTCTGATTCTTCTTCATGTTCCCTCCTCGAGCACAAGAAACAAGGGGGATGCAAGGGTTGAAGTAGGAAGTTTCAGTGTCCAGGAAGACAGGAAGATGAAGAGGGTTGGGGGGGTTCTTACATGCCGAGCCCAACCTGAAGTTAGAGTCGTTGTTTTGGGGTTAGGGTTTTGGGAACCCCGTTGTCATACGACGCTCTTGAAGACTGAACACACCCCCTGCTCAGGAACGCCCCAAACCAGACAAACTCGCATCTATGCTGATGCATCCATGCCACGTCTGTAGCTGTAGACAGTGGTTGTGCCGCCGCCGACAGAATCCTCGAACGGGCGCAGCAGCTTGATTTTGGAAATCAGGCTGCATGTCCCAGCAGCATCCACTTTTCGGCCGCTCAGAGGGTGCGGGAGAGGATGTGAGGTGAGTTCGATTCCTCTCGTGCAAGATTCTGAATCATCGCCGTTCTGGTGTTTCGAATGAAGGCACCCTCGACCATACCTGAGTTTTTCAAGTTGAGGTCCGCGAGCAACTTGAATGCGCAAGACCCACTGCCGTGGCTACGCAGCCTGGGACGGCGTCAGCTGTGGACTTACGGTGGTTCGCCACTTCTCCGCTTCTGGAAGCCCTGCTTGGAGGTTCATGGTACTTGTTAACCAGCTGTAGGTGTACTTAGAACGGTACTTATAACCATGTTAGGGCACACAAGGGGCTTATAAGTGGCTTATACGTACAGTTATAACTGGTTCAGAAGTACCATGAACCTCCAAGTACAATTCCACGCTTGACTGACATGCGGAAGCTTTTCTCAAGAAGAGACCCTCTTCAGCCCAAATCGAAGCAAGCGCTTTTCTACAAGGCTTGGCCCTGCTAAGTCCCCCTCTCCCCCCCCTCTCCCCCCCTTTGGTATCTCCCCCCCCCACCACTACCCCCCCCCCCCCCCCCTTGCCCCCCCCCCTGCGGCCAGGATGGAGATTCAAGAGCCCTATGTCGCTGGAAAAATGGCTCCGTAGCACCATGCTGAGAGCAACGCCCCTCAAGTTTTAAAAAACATCGTCTGCTTTGTCTCTGTTGACTATCTGCACAAGTCTTCCCCCCCAGTAAGAGGGGTTAGGGCTTCGGCTTGAAGTCACCAACACAGTTCCTCCAAAAACGCTTGAAGTCGGTAGCTGCCGGTAGCTTTCCCCTCGCAGCAAAGTGACAGTATCCCGGCAAAGGGCACGAACAACGAACCCATCGAAGCCCCATCTGGCAAAGGCTGCACTGTCCACTAAGGCCTTGGGGCTTCGGGTTTCGGAACACAGCCCTGGATACCAAGGACTCATAGTTTGAGGGTTTTTAGAGGGTGTTTAGTTTAGTGGGTTTAGAGGGCTTAGGGCCTCCACCCGCAGCCCCTCGATCTTAAGCCTGTGCTCATGAGTCTCTTCGGGCGCCCACGCTTTGAAGTCTAAATTTGGTTTCGCAGTTTCCTAAACCTGCAACCCCTAAATCGCAGTCCTTCTGTGATTCCGAAGTCTCCACGCACTGATCCATCTCCTTTGCCGGCATTTGCAACACTTCGGGGGTGGCGCCTCCATTTGCTATTTCCGCAACAAGGTGTAACCCTACTCTATCCCAAAGGACTTGACGCATCATTCAGAAACCCCCCGAAAAGGTTACCCTCCCATTTTCGGAACGCCCTGACAATGAAACATGTTTAGGTCTCGATCGTTGAACACCAAAGATTTGATTTGACATGGTTTTTCTGTATTTCTATTGCATGCATTCAGGATAAGAGCCCAACACATGCAAACATGCACCAGAATACCTGACCCCCCGAACCCCCGCCCCCCCTCCCCCCCTCCCCTCCACACCCCAAACCCCAAACCCCAAACCCTAAACCCTAAACCCTAAACCCTAAACCCTAAACCCTAAACCCTAAACCCTAAACCCTAAACCCTAAACCATCTGACTCAATAGGACCAAAAAAGCCCCGACGCCCACAGCGCAGGGCTTTGGATGAAAGAGGCTCACGAGAGCTTCAGGCAGGGAAGCACAAACCTTTCTCCCCAAAAGTTTGGGGTTTAGGGTTTAGGGTTTGGGGTTTAGGGTTTAGGGTTTGGGGTTTGAGGTTTGGGGTTTGGGGTTTAGGGTCTAGAAACCCCCAAACAAGGGTTCTGGGTTTGGGTTTTAGGGTTTGGGGCTTAGAAGCCCCGAAAACCCTCAAGCCCCTCAACGGGATACAGAGCCGGGGCATCTTCTGGACCACCACCCCAAAGAGCCGACGCTTTTCTGTCAGCCCTGTGAAGTCGACACCTCTTAGCTATATAACGAAAACCATAACAAACCTGCACACTAAACCCTACACCCGAACCCTGCAAGCCAAAAACCTTAAACCCTAAACCCAGGCCCTAAGCCGCTTTCAGAGGAGCAAGGGGGCACCAGGCCTTCCGGCGGACCCGTTCCATTTCTGGCTTCGCTTCTCCCATGCGGTTCTGCTATCGGAATGGTTACCAGCATCCCTAAACCCTAAACCCTAAACCCTAAACCCTGAACCCTGAACCCTAAACCCTAAACCCTAAACTCCTTCTGCAACGATGACGATGACGTTTGTCATGACTATGGCTAGCTGCTCTACGCCCCCCGAGCT